ATATATATATATATATATATATATATATATATATATATATATATATATATATATATATATATGCATCAAAACACAATAGAAATAAATAATAAAGAAAACAGAATAACAATGAATGAACAGAGTTCCTCGTGTGCGCACAAACTTGAAATCGAAAACAGGATACAAATATAGGATACATTTTACCTTTCGAGAGCAGCAAACAGGCACGGGACGAGCGGGTGCGAACTGTTCCACCACACGAACCCGAACGGAGCTTGACCTCAGGCGGGATATCACTTCGAGGCTGGATTCGAGAGGCAACTCAACAGCAATCCAAACAACGAGACAAAAACAGGAAAAGAAAATGGAAAAGCAGGCGGAGTTCACTGTCGTCTGTGAATTTCTTTAAAACAAGCGGAGAAGAAAACATAATACTCTCTCAAAATTTGTCTCGGCCCTTCGTGATAGAACTCTCCCAAAAAATTCCCACCTAAAAATTCCAACCAAAATCTAACCACGAAAAATCTGAACCCTACTGTTTTCCTACAGAGAACAGAAAAGAATTAGAATATTCTCGATAATAATTTTTGTACTCCTCGTTATATACTCTCCAATTCTCAAAGAAAAATCGTTCAACCCCCTTATGAAGAGGGAGGGGGGTTTATATAGGAGAAGAAAACTTAGGGTTTTCGAGGGGAAGGGCTTGCAGAAACCCTCAGGCCCATTCCGAATTCAAATCCCCAAATCCTATCCGCATCTGAAGGAATATCCCGTTTTGATGCCGAATTCCCAACGGATAGAAGGGGAGGTGGAGGGTCGAGATGAGTTCGTGGTACTGGCGAGCTTCGTGGCGCAATATCGGCATGGCAAGGACGAAAAACGCGTCTGCAAAGCTGAACAATCCAGCCTGCCCTGCTGCGAGGCGTACTGGCGAGGTAGAGAGGAGTGAACGCGTGAGGAGACGCGGGGAGAGGGGTGAGAGAGGGGGGTCTGTGCGTGAGGGAAACGCGAGTTTCGCGGCTGTTTCTCCGAGAATTTGTCGCATCTGAGGGGGGGGGGGGGGCGGCAGGTTTCTGGGAATTAATTTGTTGTCTTTTCTGAAAAGAGCGTGGTGAGAGGAGGAAGAAGGAAGAGGAGAGGGGTCTGGGTCGGGTCGGACGGGTAAAGGGGGACGGGGCGGGTTAGATTTTAAGTTAGCGGGTCGCCTGGAAATATTGAATGTGCTGGGAATTGAGGTGAGTGTTGGGCCTGGGGTTAATTTGTGGGTGGGCCGTCTGAAGTTTTAGGATAGAAGAGGGGATTTTTAGGATGGGAGAAAAAATAAATTGGGTTGGATCAAACTATTGGGCCGGGAAGAGGGAGTGGGCCTGGGACTTGGATTGATAATTAAAGGGAAAAGGGTGGAGTGGGCCTACGAATTGGGCTGGTAAGTTGGAAGAAGACCTAAATTTGGTTCTAAGGGAAAAGAGTTAAGTTTAATAAAATAGTCAATTGATTTAAAGTAAAACGAATTTGGTATAAATTTATTAACGAGCTTATTTATTTAGTAATATAATTATTTAAACTATAAGATAATTGATTCAAAATAATCATAGTTTAAACTAAATTATTTAAATAGAATACTTACTAAAATTTAAAATATTTTGAGAAATAATCGTAAAATATAGCAATTGTATACGTGATCATGTAAAATATATAGGATATCTAAAAATTATAAGAAAAAAAATGACAAAAGTACTCAAAATAATATAAAATTCATATGTTATTATTTTTCATTCGCGAAATTTATACGACTAATTAATTTTAATTATTTGGAAAATTTAGAAAGCTCGATAATTAATTTATACCGACACGGGTCAAAAATTGGGTGTCAACACTATGGACCTCTTTCGGTGGAAAGATGGAAGAATAATCCATGAACAATTTGTCTGAAATAGTAATGTTTTCATTTTCTGCGTGACTCTCACTAATGCTTGCCCAGGTTTTGAGAAAAGTGGCGATGGATGAATCATCTGTTATAAGGTGACTAATACAAACACCTATAGCAATTCCTCCACAAGCAAAACAGTTTATTTGTAGTGGCAACAAGACATTGTCATCTGATCTTGTTAATGGATTCATTGGGAGTAATTTTCTCAGGACTTGAATTTTCAGGTTCATAAGCACATTTGACATGTCTTCATGAACGTTGGCACACGCTAAATCAACACCTTGGTTGTTGCATTCAGTTGTGATTCCATCTTTAACTCTCCCTGCAAGCGGGTTCAGGTAACTTAAGGTTTGCGACAGGGATACCTTAAGAGAATCTATAACATTTTCCATATCACTACTTGAGTTCTTGTTGTTGAAAAGAAAAAATGTAGTGTAACAATTTGGAGCGTTTTGATCTGAAAGAGAAAGCTTATGGCTTTTATGATTCTTTAAACTTGGAGAAAATGGTTTGATTATATCTTTGGAGATAATCTCAACTTTGATGTCTATTTCCCCTCAATGAGA